GTGGGAAGGGGCATGGCTGGGTGAGAGCTTTCTGGGCAATGGTCCTGGTCTACAAGCATTCAACGTTTGCAGAGCAGGAGTGCATTTGAATCCAAGAAGGTCATTAAAACAGCAGCTCAAGCCAAGGCTGCCCTAAAGCATCCCCTATGGGAAACGGCAGCGCTGCTGCCTGCCTTGCAGTTTGCAGGAGTTGCCATTCCACCTCCTAAGCACCCATGGGGTGTTTCGAGATAAACCAGTTTTACAAGCCAACACAGGAGCAACATAGATACGAGGAGGGCTTCTTCTAGGCGATACTACTTCTCCATAGCTAAGGATCCCAGAAAATACTAATTTTCCCCTTCTTCCCTCCACATCGCAGAGATCCAGTCTCAGCTTGACATGGCAACACATGGTGAAGGGGGTTTCACCGTCTTCGTAGGTCTTAATGGCTCAAGGGAAGACCTGGGGCTGGAGCCAACCAACTATTTCATGTACTCAGGAAATGACCTGGATGAAATGTGGGTTTAACTTCACCTTAGACATGCTTCGTTAAGCATAAGGAGATTAAATCCTGGGTGGTGACTCAGAAAATGCTCTTGGCAGATCCTTGCTGCATAGGGATTTGGATGTAGCAAGTATTCACAGAAAGGTTTGCCTCAAAACCCACCTCAGACCCTCGTATCTCTCTGCAGAATGAATCGCTACCTGGCTTCTTCCAGAGAAGAAGCCGCCAAGAACATCCCAGTCCTGTTTGTCACCTGCCCGTCAGCCAAGGACCCCACCTGGGAAACAAGGCACCCAGGTAAAGGCTGAAACCCAACCGCACACGTTTGGGAGCAGCTTGAAAACTCTTGCTGGGGTTTGGTTTGTTCGATGGCTGCAAATGAGGCGTTTCTCCTAAAATAGCCACGGTCAAAGCTGCTGACCAAGCTGCTAATGGAAAGTGGTCTTCAGGATAACTGGAGAAAGGATATGGGACCACGAAGACCTGGGGACATCCCAGGTGTTTGCACGGGGAGGGTTGGGTTTGTGGCAGCAAAATGGTGGCATGAGGGTAGGCAGAGGGACGACCTTGTCCTGCTGCAGGTAAATCTACGCTGGCCATCGTGACCTTTGCCAAGTACGAGTGGTTTGAGGAGTGGAAGGACAAGCAGGTCAATAAGCGGGGAGATGATTACGAGGAGTTGAAGAAGACTTTTGTGGACACCATCATGCAGACTGTCTTCAAGCTCTACCCTCGCATCGAGGACAGGGTAAGGAAAGCTGGGGTTTGCAGGTCCTGCAGCTCCTCTCCCGGGTCCCGTCTACCCAGCCCCATCCTGCAAACGTAGGAGCAGGGTCCTGGTCTCCTGGACGTGAGGTCCAGCACCAACCCATCGCTGCTGCCTCCTGACCATGCATCATGCAGGGGGGTGTGATGATCCCCCAGGACCATCCTGGCATCAAACTTGGCCAGAACCACAACCCAGGTGTCTGCAAGGAAACCTGTCCCAGCCCGCACCCCACGAAAACAGCTTCTGGAGCATAATGAGACACCCCACACCCTCACGCCTACCCCATGCAGACCACGTTGTCCCCTCGTCCCCCCCAGATCGAGTACATCTCTGGAGGGACACCCCTCACCAACCAGCACTACATCGCCAGCCCCAGGGGGGAGATCTACGGCATCGACCACGGCATTGCCCGCCTGCAAGCGGAAGCCATTGCCACCGTGAGGGCGCAGACGGCTGTCCCCAACCTCTACCTGACAGGTACCACGGCCACCATCCGGACGCAATGTTCTCAGATGGGGACACCTCTGGGGGAGCGGGATATGGGGGGAGAAAAACCTTCAATCACAGAATCACAGAATCACTAGGTTGGAAAGGACCTTCAAGATCATCAAGTCCAACCATTAGTCCAGTGCCACCATGTCCTCTAAACCATGTCCTGAAGCACCACATCCACACGTTTCTTGAACACCTCCAGAGATGGCGACTCCACCACCGCCCTGGGCAGCCTGTTCCAATGCCTGACCACCCTCTCAGTGAAGAAATTTTTCCTAATATCCAATCTAAACCTCCTCCGATCTAAATCCTTCAATGAAATAAGGGGACAAGGCACTGCCGTGCCATGGGGCGATGCGAGAGCCGCTGGCGCACGTCTCAGTGGAGCTGCACGGTCCCGACAGGAGGAGGAAAGGGCTGCGCCTCCTCCAGCTCCCGGACATTGCCTCCCTGCCTGGTGCTGATTTATTTTAGCTGGGCAGGATGAGGCCCTTCCCTGCTGGGGAGGAGGAAGGGCTCAAACGGGGAGGGGTCTTGTGGGCTCAAACCCCAGGCTCGGCATGGGGGCAGCTGTAGGGGAGGGAGGGCGGCTGGTGGATGGGGATGGTCATGCCCAGCAGCATCGAGGGTCAGCTGGGGACAGAGACCGTGGGCCGCCCGCGGGTCCCCACCACAGCCGCTGCCATCGCCACCTCCCGCTCTCTTCCAGGGCAGGATTTGTGCCTGGGTGGCTTTGTGGGAGCCCTGCAAGGAGCCCTCATCTGCGCCAGCGCTGTCCTCAAGCGCAACCTCTACGTCGACGTGGCGCGGCTGAAAAAGCGCACGCAGGCCACCGAGGCCAAGAAGAGGGACTAATGCCTGCCGTCCCACTGGCCAGGACCTCCCGTTCCCCCCAGCCCCTGGATTGCCCCCAGTGCCTTATTTTCTGCTGTAAATCACCCGTAGCACGTCCTCCTGTAACGCAAAGCCAAAGGATTACAGCCCGGGGAGATGCCGTTCCCATTTCCAGCCAGCTTGCCCCGGACCGTACCCACCCCGAGCTCACCTCCTCCCACCACAACGTCCACCGCTAGTGAGTAAAAGCCAGCGCTGATCCCTGGCCGCCCTTTTGAGGGCAAACCCCTTCTCCCAGCACGGGGACGAGCGGCTCCAAGAGCTGCTGTGTGCGGCGGTGGCCAGGACAGGACTCAAGGCAACCCCAAAAACCAGCCCGCGCCGGAAGGCAAACCCCATCAGCTTCTACCAGCGACACCCAAGGGTCACTTAATCCCCACCAGCGTCCGAGAGCCACGTGGACCATCAGAAGAGCATCAACCTTCACCTGCATCCCCCAGACCCGCTGATGATCCCGAGCTCCCCGCAGATGTTTTCCCCCTTTCAGGCAGCAGCTTGGGCACCACGCTGGGCTCATGAAGCTTCGCTGGGCTCATGAAGCGAATTGGGCTCATGAAGCTCATTGGGCTCATGAAGCTTCGCTGGGCTCATGAAGCGAATTGGGCTCATGAAGCTCATTGGGCTCATGAAGCTTCGCTGGGCTCATGAAGCGAATTGGGCTCATGAAGCTCATTGGGCTCATGAAGCTTCGCTGGGCTCATGAAGCGAATTGGGCTCATGAAGCTCATTGGGCTCATGAAGCTTCGCTGGGCTCATGAAGCGAATTGGGCTCATGAAGCTCATTGGGCTCATGAAGCTTCGCTGGGCTCATGAAGCGAATTGGGCTCATGAAGCTCATTGGGCTCATGAAGCTTCGCTGGGCTCATGAAGCGAATTGGGCTCATGAAGCTCATTGGGCTCATGAAGCTTCGCTGGGCTCATGAAGCGAATTGGGCTCATGAAGCTCCACGTGGGACTCGGCGGCCCCGGGGCTTGCGGAGGAAGCGCCGACGTCCCCGCAACGGGGCTGCGCTCGGGTAGGCAGGTTTGGTAACCTCCTGCAAGCCGCTGGATGGGCATCGGCCGCGTTTAAGCAAGGGCAAGCGATGCCAACCCGAGCCCCATCGCTGCGTTTTGCCGAAGGCGCCCGGGAGAGGCTCTCGGACACGGTCCTCCGGGAAGGAGCCAGCGCCCGGCTCAGCGTTGTAAGCAGGTCCCTCCGCATGCCAAGGCCGGCGTGAAGGTATTTAAGCCGGGTCTAAAGCTCTTTGAGAGCGACGGTGGTTGCCCGTGTGTGGTGCTTCCCAAGTCAAGCCTCGCCGCAGCAGAACAGCGGGACCGTGGTGCAGCCCCCCAGCCCCGCCAAGCTGACGGTATTTCGGTGCCGCTCCGTCCTGCATCGCCCGGAGACGCGCGGGGG